TGGTTATGTAGACAGACAATAGGATGGTGATTACCAGAGGGAAAGGGGGTAGGGGAAGGGGGTAGGGGAGGTAGGAGTGGGTCAAGGTGGATAAATGGTGATGGAAGGAGACTTGACTTGGGGTGGTGAACACACAATATATATACAGATGATGTGTTATAGAATTATATCCTTGAAGCCTGTATACTCTTATTAACCAACGTCACCCCGATAAATTCAATAAAAATAAAACAATCTGTTGCTTAATAGAATCCAGCTAGTTGTTTTCAAAATAATTATTTGCACCAGTGAGTTAATCATCTTGTATTATCCTCCTTACATGTCTCTCTTTTTATTGTCAAATGTTCTCACATATCAGAGATGTTCAGAGGGCCAATTGCAGGTACATCTGTCCTTTGACCTTTGAGCTCAGCTCACAGCAGGTGGCCCCATCCTTTCTCCCCAGGCACTGTCCAAAGGACCTGGGGCAGGAGATTCTACACTACCACCCACTCCTTCTTCCACTATCCCCTCACAACTCCTCCTTGTGATGGTTTTTTAAAATTTGGTAAATTTTGATAAAATTTGGTAAGATTGATTACGTGACTACTCTAGCTAATATTTATTAAGCAGACACTGTGCGATTGTGCTTAATTTCACACCTGACATTTCATGAAGTTATTCGGATTATTCCATAAAGTAGGTTCTATTTCCCCCCTTTTTGCAGATGAAGAAACCGAGGTTTAGAGTGATAACCTAATTTCCCAGAGCTTCATAGTAGAGTCAGAATTCGAGCCTAGATCTGCTTCACCTGATGTTTTCATTTGTACAAGGAGATGCTGACTGTCACATTGAATGGAGTGAGTGGTGGCTGGCCGAGAGAACGAGTCCAAAGACCAGCATTTAAAAAGGACTTGATGTCCCTGGCTGGTTTGGCTCAGTGGATGGAGCGTTGGCCTGTGGACTGAAGGGTCCCAGGTTCTATTCCAGTCAAGGGCACATGCCTGGGTTGCGGGCTCCATCCCCAGTGGGGGGCATGCGGGAGATAGCTGATCAGTGATTCTCTCTCATCATTGATGTTTCTATCTCTCTCTCCTTCTTCCTTCCTCTCTGAAATAAATAAAAATATTTTTTAAAAAATAAAAATAAAAAGGACCTGATGGTGTTCCTTCCAAGGGACTCTGCTGATAGGAGCCCCCGAGAATCTAAGTATACAGGAGTCATTTGTCACTAATAAATTCATTTTGAATATAACACTGGAGCTAAAATTGCCACTTGGCCTTAGCTCTAAAATGGTCTCACTCATCCAGACTCCTGTGCAGCTGAACCCTGCTGGCTGCTGATGCTCTCCAAGGAGCCAAACATTAGAGAGAGTGCAGCATGGGTTTTCCACCTGAGCTCGCCCTCACTGCCCTGGGTCAGTGTCTTGCTTTTCCATAAATCTTTGCCCTCTTGAGAACTGGACTGGCCCGAGTCATGCCCTTCCAGGGCTGGCCATATCAAATGGGAACGGCGTGGCCTGGCTGTCAGCCCCCTCTCCTACTTTACTTCTGGTGGTAGCTAGGCCAGTTGTCCTCACACCCCATGGCAGCCCATGACCCCACAATGAGTTCACTTTTTCCCTTGGTATCCCTCCTGCCAATGCTCCCCTCAAAAACCCGGTTTGTCAAAGCAACAATTTGGAAATGGCCCAAATGTGCACCGATATAGGGATGCAAAGAACATTCATTCACAGGGAATACGCAGATGCTGACAATCTCCCTCTGGAAGCTCAGGAATAACATGGGACAGACTCAGGCTGTGACACAGTAAGTGAGAGGGCGTGTCCGATGGCCAAACCTGCACTTGAAAAAAGGCCTGCAGGGATTTTTTTAAAAAATAGGTTTTAAAAAATTGATTTTTTTTTTTTTTTTAGAGATAGGGAAAGGGATAGAGAGATGCAAATATCGATGAGAGAGAAGCATCAATCAGCTGCCTCCTGCAAGCTCCCTACTGGGGATCGAGCCTGGCAACCCAGGCATGTGCCCTGACCAGAATCGAACTGTGACCTGGTTCATAG